AACTAAAACTACAGGAGTTTAAAAAATAAATGTCACCAAATCTTGCTACAATTATAGAGATTGAAAATATTAAAAAAACTACAGAGAGTAAAAGCAAAACTCGATAGGACTATTTGATACTTGTAATTTTCTTTTCTTTTTATTTTCTCCACTTTTCTCTTCATTTAAACCAACCTTAAGCTTGTATTTTTATTAGACCTGGCTAAACATTGCATAGATTCAAAAAATGAAATACATTAATGTGTTTTTCCTGATTTTTAAAATTATTTTAAGAGTTTTTGTTTCTATTTTTTCTTCCTATATCCAAACAAAAGCTAAGATAGTAACTAGGAATACAAAATTATTCTAAACATCTGTTATTCTGTTTGGAATGTAAAATTTAGAACAATTTGTAATACCATTCATACACCATGGATGAAGATCATCATGTATAGTTGATTTTTTAAGTCTGTCTAGACACAGGCATACAACAAGTAAGTGTGTTGGTGGATCACTTGGGTTTTGTTTTTAGTTCATGCAATTTTTTAATATTATTTTCTATTTCCATGCTTTTAAAAAGATTGGGTGATATTTGTTTTTCAAGTTTCATAGTTCTAGTTTTTTTCAGTATTTTTGTTCCTATAAGAATTGAAAACATTAAAGAAAATTACAAAGATTAAAAGTAAAATTTGATAAAATTATAAAGATTAAATTATATATTATATATATATATAGGGAGAATGACAGTTAAGTTTCAAAAGAAAAATTTAATGATAGTTAAATTTCCAACAAATTTTTTGAAAAATTAGTTGTAAATACCAATTTAAATAGTTATAAATTTAAAAGTTCCAATTACAAATATAATATTTACATTCTAAATATAACAATTGGTTTACAATTCAAATTATTATTTATAATTATTGAAATTGATATTTTATAATTTATTTTGCAGAAAGACTTAACTGTTATCAATTCTTTTTTTTAGGACTTTACTGTCACTCTCCCCGGCTATAATACAACAATTATTTTTTGTTATATAAAAATAAGGAGCTTGAAGACATAAACAACATAAACGAATTAAAGTCATTGACAACTTATTCATGCACACATGTACATGTATATATTCCATAAAGCATATATAATGTGAATATATAGCATTATGTTGAATCTCTGCGATCGCAACACCAACACGTATGCCTTTACCAAGCAGGTATCAAAATCCAAGACAAATTAAACAATACATTTTCTAACATGAAATCCGATCTGAAACGCTGTACAGTTGTTTGTCAACAAGCCCTAACCATTAAAAAAAGACTATGTAATACTAATTAATAATATAATATATATATATATATATATATAAAATGCAACTCTGCTTGACTTCTTGCTTCATTCCGATGCAAAGAAACAGTAATATACTCAATTTCTTTTTAAAATATAAGTGGTTTTTAATAAAAAATTAGCATAATAAATGAGAGGTACTCCCTCCTGTGAGGCATTTTATCGATAAAACATTTTTATTTTCAGGAAAATTGTTTATTTTTTTCTCTTTTTATTTTCAGTTTTAATTTATAATAAATGAGGGGTACTCCCTCCTATAAGGCATTTTTTAAGAAGTTGGGTGTTAAAAAATATAAAATATTTTTAATCTTTTAAGGGTGCAATCATTATCTTTTTCTTTCAAAAATGCTCTTATTGAATAAATTATTTTATATTTATTTTAAGATAAAATATCATATTAAATAGAGGTAAATATAGAAAAATAAAGTTAGTTTGAAGATAAGTAACTACTTTATTAAGAAATAAGATTTAGTTAAAAATGTCTTACATTTTTAAATGGATAAGTAATAAATTTACAAAAAAAGAATCTAAATTAATAAATACAAGGGGTAAAATAAATTTTTTTATCACAAATATTAATTCACTTATATTTCGCATTGGAGGGTGCATATATATAGCACACAAGTTAAGTTATTTTGTAGACATTTTAATTTGTTCAAAATATAAGCATTATGTAAGTATCATATATTTTTTCAACTACATCTCCACTTTATTGAATAATTAATGAGATTATTTTGAAACAATCAACCATTATATTTATTACTCTCAAGAGCACAATAATAAAGATGAAAATTTTTTTTTAGAAAAATAAAAAATTTAGCTAATTTTTTTAGAAGCAAAAATTAATCAACAATATTTATAAAGAATCGAGAATATGGGCAGATACAGACACTTCGTAGTAGCATGGGGATGGTTTTGGTCGTTGAAGGTATAAATTTAATAAATGAACTTCAGTTCTTCTGACAATATTGGGAAGTTGTCAGATGGAGACTCTGTATTTTTATGCAGTAGTATGTGACTATACTATGATTTATTATAAAAAAAAACATGATTTATTTAAACATAAAGTAAGACCTCGTTCTTATTCTAGTTGGTAGTTGACTAGTTATTTTAATGGACATATTCCTTAATCGCAGTGAGCTGTGTTGGTATTATCCGTAAATTATCACAACAAAAGGCCAAACTTGTTCTTAACTTATGGCACGACTTCACACAACCACTGGACGGTTTCTTGTTTTATTATTATTATTATTATTATTACTACTACTTAGTCTTTTATTATATATATTTTATAAAATATTAAATCGTAGATCATTATATATATTGATAAGTTAATTAATTATATTTAAATTAACATTATCTTTTTATGTCTACCTTTATTTAATGTAGTGTCTATTTAAAGGTGAATGATTAAGTGATTTATTTATTAAAAATATTTAAAAAAACTCATTAATTACATATTAAAAACTAAGTATGTCTTATATTTTTAAACATTTAATTTTAGAAAAAAATGCTTTATATTTTTTAATAGAAGGAGTAGTAAAATGTAGGTCTTCTTTGATTAGCTGTTTTCAAAAAATTAAAAAAAACCCACTTAAAAATGTGTTTTATGTTATTTGTTCTAAAAAAACAAAAAGAGAGTTAAAAGTTGATTTAAATAACTAAAAAACTAGAACATCTTTTAAATGTTTTATTTGTTACTTCTTGTTCTATAAAAGTAAAAGAAAGACATAAAACATCATGTTTTCATTAATGATAATTATGTTAATAAAAAAAACTATTCTTTTACACTTTATTTTACTAATTTAGATATATTTATTAAAATAATGATTCATAAATTTTTTTTCTTCCAATTTTTGTTTCCAAAACTTGTTGTAAAAACTACACCAGATATTTGTTTTAAGAACATAAAAACAAAAAGACAAAATCAAACAAGCCAGTAATTTTTTATTAATTAAACTATCCATCCATCACAAAAAAACATGGTAAAGTCAATCAAATTCTTAAATCACAGTTGATTTCTTGCATTATGTGTGTGCGCGCTTGAAAATATCATTAGGAATCTAAGTTGGGGAGTAGTGCATTATTGAAAATGAAGAAGTGGTTAAGAGAGGCTTGTCTTCATATTTGAGAGATGAGCTTTGAAGGCAATGTGTTTTGTTTTATATAATGTACTCTTTCTCTTAAGAAGTTTCTTCCATGGCTGTTTCTCCTTTTTTTCTCTGTTTCTGCAACCATCTTCTTTAATTTGCTATGCCATTAAATTATGGTTGATTCTATGTGTTTAATCATTGATTTTTGGGGAACATGTTGAATCAAAATAAACTAATTAGATTTCTAGCCTCTAGGGACGTTGAACTAATTCATGTACATGAGGAAGAGTTGCCAACTTGCCAGTAACTCACTGAGTCAAACATTTTTAATAAATTACAGCTAGACCCAACCTTCATTTTGTTTATATATATATGAAAAGCCAACCTTATAAATATTCATATACTCCATTTGTTAAAAAATGTAAGTTATTTTTAATCAAATTTTACCCTTCAATCAAGTAATTACTTACCTTCAAACTAACCATATCTTTTCATATTTATCCCTATTAAATACCAAACAATAAATATAAAGTCACTATTAATAGGACATTTTTGAAAAAAAGCAATAATTACACCTCGAAAGATTAAAAATATCTTATATTTTTAAATATCAAACTCTTTAAAAAATACCTTACATTTTTTAATGGAGAGAGTATTATATTACCAAGCCAAATTCAAGCACTATCAAGTTGAATTCGAGGACACTCTTGCAATGTGATTTTTTTCCTATCTACAAAATTTAAACTATCAACTTTATTTAAAAAGAATCCAGTCTCTTGTATGCTAATTAACCATCATCGATTTATTTTTAATGCAATTATATGATATTTATTATATATATATATATATATATATATCAATGAGTAATTGAGTATATCTCTGAGGTATTCAGGACCAATGATAAATTTTTTTAATTAAATTGTCATATACACAATATATGATCGAGATTTGAACTCCTAATTACTTTTTCGAGTTAGTTAATACAAGTATTTTTTTATAATGAAAAATTTAAATGAGTTAAGTCATTGATACTAAGATTTAGTAGTGTTGGGGTTTTTTTATTCCCTCTTTTGATACAAGTAAGTGTTGTTTTGGGTGAAACTTGATACCAAAAATTCGGATCTTGGGGTTAAAACAATAACTGGGCCCGATCATCTTGCTTGTTTATCAGAGTCCAGGTTCGGTTGTAATGCTGCTTTTGTATGTATTTATTTTAAGTCATTTCTAAAAGTAAAAGTAAAAAAAAAAAAAAACAACAACAACAATAATAAAGGGCCTACATCAATGCAAATAAGTTAACAAATAATTTTTAATAAAAATTTTAAGCAAATTAGATTCAGAAACCCATTAAAGCTAAAACATATTTCCGAATTTAAATAATAGTTATATAGAGATGCTTATAAATTCCCTCATACAGATATATGCACGCACATATTCATGTAGCTGTAACCTCTCGCTAATATGGAAAAGTTTAATCTGGCCACATAAGATTGGAAAATAATATTACAAACAAAAAATATACACAATTTAAATAAATATTATTAATTTCATTATTATTAAAAAAAACAAGGGAAAATTACACACAAACTATGAGAGAGAAAGAAAAAATAGAAATACACTAGCCTCTCCCTTCTTCGTCCTCGACAATATTATCTGTAGGCGGGCTTACATAAGCCATATGAAAAATTCAAAATATAAAAACATTATATATACAAAATTGGCACTCATTGATGTATTACTAATATTAAAAAATAATTAAAATTTGAAGATTAAAACTTCCAGCTTAGGAGTCAATATGCCACTGAACAAGGAACAATGAAGAAAGTAATCAATGTGTTCCAGGCTCAACTCCAGCAGTCTTCAATGTCTCTGCAGTTCGAGGACTACCAAAAACAAAAACCAAAAAACAAAAAGAAACACTTTCTGTCAATCATAAGTTACTATAATGAGATATTTAGCATATTTGATTTATAACAATTAGATTGGTTTAATCTAATCATGAATATTGCGTATCGATGTGTGACTATTTCAAACCAGCTCAATTTATGTCATGTCTCATGATCCATTGTGTTCTCTATTATATTACAAAGCACCTCTAATTATTTTATCAAAATCAAATTTGAATTCAATGAGTGTCCTAATAACATTCATTTAATGAGTGTGTCAATTATAATTGTTAAACTTTATCAATACTTGACAATTATTAAGATATATTTTCTTCAAAAAAATCAAAATAATCAACACGATCATAACACTCCTTACTTATATCATTCCCTTTAAAAATATGAAATTTGATGCTTTTTTAATATTATATGACAAAATCTTTGATAGTCGTTCAATTAAATCAAATTATTGTTATTATGGCACATGAGACACATATTGAGTGAGTGAACTTAAGTCTCTCACTGAATTTAAATCTAACTGAAATCAAGTAGAAATGGTTATATAATTAATTTTGTCTGAAAACATAATAAACTTATAATTTTACGCCTACTTAAATGATTTTTTTTTTAAATTTGCGCTACATTCTCTTTCATAATTAAGGAGTTTAAATAGAATTAATAATAGAAAAACATAATTAATACCTCACCAAGTGTCTTATATTAAGTATTAAAAAATCTTTTTAGAAGGTGAAATATAATGGGGACTGGAGTAAGTACGTAACAAATTAAGATTGAATTGATCAGCCTGATTTGATTAGTTTTTGATCGATCAAACAAATGAAGAATGACTCACTGAGTGAAAGGGTTGGGGTGGACTGGATCGGAGAGGGTGTTTTTGTTTTCTTGGATGTGAGCAACTTTTCGAAGCATGGAACGATTAATGAACTTGTCAGCAGAATCAATGGTGAGGTCAGGTTCATCCACCTCGGGCATGGATTCTCTTCTCTTCTTGTTCACATGAACACTTGGAGACCTCACAAGTTGCTGATATGCAGTGTGTGCTGCTAACATCACAGCCACACTCACCATCCCAAATACTATCTGAACTGGTGCCCACTCCCCAATCCTATGTAACACATAATTTCACACTTCAACAAAACTATATAAAACGAAAGTTCTCGATGATTTAGGGTTTCTATTTTTTTTTTTGGATTTATATGACACATGCACAACACTTTATGTTTTGAATTAAATTGGATTTCTTATGTTTAATAGTCATACAATCAAAAGAGAAAATGACAGCCGGGCTTAAGAAATTGCCAAGAAATGAGTAATTGGACGTTTGGTCTCAAACTTAAAAGAATTGCAAAAAATAGGTTCAGGCTTGGGCCAGTTTGAAAATCAGCTTTTTATTTATTCTTAAATGATCCTTTTGTCATTTAAAAAAATCCTTAATCTGCAGCAGCCTCTGACAATCACACTTAATCACTAAAGACTTGAAGTATTGGAAGAATAATTAATAATGATTAAGTTGAACATTTTGTTTATAAAAGATGATGATAATTATATATTTAGTGACCTTTTAGAATATTTTTAAAATTTTTAATTTTTATTTGTACTTTAAATGTGAAATTTCTTCTTTAGTTTTTTTTTTCATAGTTAAGTTAAATTTTACAAAAAAAGTTGTGGGCTATAGGGTCAAGCTCGGAGCCATAATAATTCAAACCAGGCTTTAGAAAAGTACAAATACAATAGGAACGTGGTTTTTGGGCTCGAGCTCTAATGGGCTCGAGCTTAGCCCATTAAAGTTGGACCAGCCCATTTCTTGGTTTTAATTAGAAATTATGATTGGGTCGGGTTTCATACTAAACAAAGAATCAGAATTCATACTTGTGGCTGGAATTGGAAGCACCATGAATGTTTGCATGATGAGCATGTTCTGCGTCCAACGTGGCAGGTTTCATTTTTGGGGTTGTCGACGTGGCAATTGATCGTCTTCCTCCTCTCAGTTGTCCCACCATTGATCTCAAGCTTCCCTGCAACACCATTCCAACAAAACACACACATATATACATAAACATAATATATATCATTTTCACATGGCAATAACAGTCATTACTATGTGAGTCTCATGCATTATATAGCACTTGTTAATTAATTACCATTCTGAAGGCCATTTTCTCTGATCACGTATGCAAATTTTGCAGCAAAATTATAGTTTTGAGTTTGCTGGTTCGGATCTTTCTCACAGAGGATGTAACCATTTATATATAGATCAAGAAGCACTTGATATAGCCATTAATTAATCTGATGACGTGGATGATTCGATGGTGTAGATAGGAATTTATTTTGCTAATTAAGGAGGAGGCTGTGGATTAACCAGAGAGCTAGGGTTGTGCCTTTAACAGCCACTTGTCAGGGAAAACATCATTGAGTAATTAATTAAGTAAATTAATTGAAGCCTTTACTTAATATTCTTCTTTATCTATGGTCACTTTGAATCTTTGAGACCCAATGGAGCATACAAACTCAAGTTTTGGATTGCCTAATGATACTCTTAATTTCCCTTCCAGTGTTCAACTTCATGCATGATTATTAAAAATCGAATTAGGCTATGCTTGTTAGGTAGTGTTAAGATGAATTCTTATCTGAGGATATTTATGGTAGAATATTTTCTGATATTTACTTTAATATAATTATAATCTGCAGCCTATTGTTCAAATTTAGATGGTTTTGTTAAACTTAGATTGCTTAAATTTTAAATCTTTAACTATTAGTTTTTAATATTTTTAATTATAATAATATTCTTATTGTGTGGTCTTGTTTTTCTCAAAATAAAAAAAATTAGAATTAAGGTATATTTTAACCTTTAAACTTTTTTTTTTCAAAAAAACATTGAGCACATTGTATTGATGATGGGACAATTTTAGTCTTAAACTATTTGTTTGCAGAGCAAAAAACCTCTTGTGTTAAACAACCATTAACATGTTATTTTCTATTGACGTGGCATTGCGTGTGACTCATGCATAGTAATAAATAAGATTCTAACCATATCATTTGGTACTAATTTACTTTTGAACTTTTTTTTAAGAGTGCATGACACCTTAAAATTATTTTTTAGGAGCGCTAGCCACCTTAAAGTATTGTTAAAATAAAATTTAATAAATATTATAAAAATATTAATTTTTTAATATTTAATAATTTAAATATTATTTATAAATATTCACCCAAAAATTATAAATTATTTTTAAAATATTAACTGCTCAAACTAGTTTTTTAAAATTAATATATGACCTGCAATATTTTATATATCAACAATATTTTTAATATTGATTGAATTCTTTAAATTTTTTTGGTCATTCTCTATAATTTTTTTTTAATCAACTAACATTTTTCCTCCAAAAGATTATACCACTTAATTTAATATTTTTGATATTTTATAATTTTGTATTGAAAAATAAAGGGAATGAACTTCTAAATTAATGAAGAATTTTTTCTCCCACCATCTCTTCATTATTCTCTTGTTAAGAAACTTTTTTTTTTTTTTGTATCACATTAATAGAACTAGCAATATCTTTCAAATGAGCATTTTTGCTGGCATATTATTAGTCATGATTTGTCATGCTTTTTATTTTACCCTTAACAGTGCAGCATGCAAAGAGTATTAATTTTAGGTGATGCAATATTTTGGAAAAAAAATCATCAGTTGGCAACAAAAATTACAGAGAATGATCTAAAAATTTAAAAAACCTAACCAATATTAAAAATATGATTAAGTTTCGATTTGCAAAAAAGGTGTAATAATTTAGGCACTATCTCAAAGAGAGACTAGAAGATCGATATATAAAAAATAATAAGTCATTTATAAATTTATAAAAAAACTTGTTTGAGATGTATATTTAGAAAATAATTTATAAAATGTAGATGAATATTTATAAATAATAACATTTAAATTATTAAATATTAAAATATTTATCATTTTAGTAATATTTATTAAATTTTAGGGTTAAGGGGTAAAAATGACTCATGAGTTTTTTAAAGGGAGTATTGGGTATCCTTACCTTTAGTTAGAGCAATGTCACCCTTGAACTTTTTAAAAAGGGTGTAATTTTACCCTACCATCAAGGTTAATCGTTTGTTGATCATTTATTCAATTTTATTTGTCACGTGACAACGCCTAGCATTTTTTTAAAATTAAAAAGGAAAAACAAAAATAGGTGGCCTCTCTCTCTCTGCGTTCTTCTCTCTCCCTTCTTCCCCCCTCTTTCACCTCTCTTTGCCTCTCTCCGGCTTCTGTTTAGCAGAACCAATGGGGATCCGAAGAGGCTTGAGATTAGGGTTTAGATGCAATAAGAAGAAGGTTTTAAGCAAAAGGAGAGTAGATACGAATTAGAAATCTAAACATCTGAGGCTAAGATATGGCAACGAGAGTTCACACTCGAGAGGCAATGAACTTGACTGAGGCATTAAGCGATGCAAGAAGGTGAGAGTGTGAATAGCCATAATCAATAATGTAATAAGGGATCAGCTCTGCATCTATAGATGAACATTCCACCTCTAGGTTATAGGGTTACCTCGCTTGAGCTAATTTCTTCGACCCCCCTCAGGTTAGGTCTAGCCATGATGCCTTAGAGTTTGGTTTTCAGTTTCCTTATCTAGACCCCTACTATTCTACTAGGTTAAACAAAATTGGAGCTTAATGCTCAAATAGAGTAGTAGAACTAAATTAATTGGCTTGAAAATGATTTTCTTTGTCAGGTGGTGAAAGAAATGCTGCCTACTATGCTCATAAAGTGAAGAATCTTTTTCTACCTTTTCCTTCAAGTTTTGCATTTGATTTAATTGTGATTCAATCTTTTGGCTTTTTATAATTTCCATTGCCTGATGGTGTTTTCCATCAAGCTATTTGAAGTTGTGCCATTTACCCATGTAATGCATTTGGCTGCTCAAGTTAGTGTGAGGCATGCAATGGAAAATCCTAGATTTTATGAGAAAGGCGGTGAGAGGAGAAGGGGGGAAGAAGGGAGAGAAAAAAAAGAAGAGAGATAGGGGGTCATATATTTCTTTCTTTAAAAAAAATTACAATTGCCAAGTGTCACTACACGACAAAAAAGGGGAATAGATAGTTAACCTTGTCGATAGGATAAAATTACACCATTTTTAAAAGTTTCAAGGCAACAATGCTCTAGAAAACTTTTAGGACATTTTACTCATTAACACTAAATTTTATTTTAATAAGATTTAAGGGTGCCCAATGTTCTTGAAAAAGATTTTAGGGTGCCCAATACTCCCGGAAAAAGAATTCAAAGGCAAATTAGCATCAAAGGACGTGACCAAAGTCTTACCTATTACTATATGTGAGCTCCATGCGTATGTCACGTTAGTAAAAAAATAAAAAAAAATTAACTATTGACTAACATAAGGGGGTTTTTTGCTCCTTGAAAAAATAATTTAAAAAAATTACTCCACTTATCAATATAAGATGTTTAATGCTTATCAAAAAAAGTTTAGGGATAATAATGCACTTTAACCTTAAAAAATTGTATGACTTAGGCCCATCATACGAGGAAAGAGAGTCGTGCTATTTATAAATCATAAATAGTATAGTTGTTAAAATATTGGATATTAGTTAATACTACATTTGGATCACAATGTAAGTGATTGTTAATTAATTTATGTTTTTTTAAAAAAATTGGTGAAATCTTGATTTTCTATTTTTTTCACCTTTTCAATCATGCTCTTGAGACTAATAATTATAACAATTGATTTATTCAAAGCATCATCATTAATTACTCAATAAAATAAGGGTATAATTGAAAAATTATTGAACACATACTCAGTGCTCTATATTTTAAACCAAGTAAAGCTTTTAAAAAATAACTTACATTGTGGTACATAGAAAATAAATAATTAGCTATTAATCATTTAGTTAAATCTTAAATCATTATTAGGGTTATAAGCTTGAGAGTTAGAGGGGGAGGTTGAATTCTTACCTTCTAGAAAGGATAGAAAAAGACGGAAGTCAACGCCTTTAAAAAAGAAAAAATAACTCCTAATCTAATCTTTTCCTATAAGAAAAGGAGATACATACACTCACATATACAAACATGACAACGTTAAGTGTAAACCTAAAAATTCTTCAAATAAAGGAGATGACATTGCTATGGGGTAACCAACCATTGTCAGGGAGGTTCCCTTGTTTAACAATAACATGATGAGTTCTATCTACCTTATCTGTATATGATGTCTTGAAAAATTATTTTCTCATTATAATGTACTCATTTCTTTTTTTATTATAAAACACTTCTAAATTACCTTATTAAAGTTAAGGAGAGATGGTTAAGTTATTATTTTATTTAAAAATATAATAAACTTTTAATTTTAATTTTACCCCTATTTAAATGATTTGTTTTTTAATTTACATTACACTCAATCTCATAAACAATCAATATTTTTAAAATCGGACCAGACCGGCCGATCGGACCGTCGACCAGTCTGGTTTCCAATCTGATTCAGAAGAAAAAGCCATTTTAGGGGTTGAGTTGGGTTGAGCCGTTTCGAACCGACGGTCGGATCGAGAACCAGAATCAAGCCGAGAACCAGATACGGTTTTCAAAAATCAGACTGTTAAAAAAAACTTTTTTTATTTTTTATCAAATTTTTAAAAAAAATGACTAATTTTTTTAATCATTTGATATTATGTTGTATCATGTGGCTTGTTAAGTCATGATAAACTTAAAATATTTGATTTGTTTAAGTTAAATAGTAATTTAATATGTATGTCTTATATTTAGATTATTATATACATATATAATTTTTTTTAATTTAATTATTACGTCACCGGTTGAACCATGTGAACCATGAATCGTTGACTTTTTTGGTTCAATGTCCAGTCCGACCGCCGATTCAAAATGATAAATAAGTTAAATAGTTTAAACAAGTTATGGCTTCAAGCCGTTTTATGGCTTAAACTGTAACATTGTAACCAATAAGTTTAAACAGGGAATTATTAAAAAAATATAATTAATATCTCATCATGTGTCTTATATTAAAGATTATTAATCTTTTCTAGAAAATGTCTCATAAGAAAGACATGAACAAGCATATTATTGTAATCATGAGTAAAGTTTATTCATTTCCTTCCCCTTATTCAGTTTTGTTTGAATTAACAATAACTTAATTCAGATTTGTCAAAACATTAACTTAATTCAGATCGTTATTAAGGGCTAAACACATGCT